CTAAAACTAAAACCAGGACTAACCCAGAACTAAACCAGAATCAGGTTGGTGACCACTGGTCTAGATAATATGAATTATTCTCCTGATTTCTTGCAACCAGCTCATAAACGAACATTATAGCCAAAATAACAGCGTCGCCATGGAAACAAGCAGCAGGAGACCCTCGTCCAGGTCTTATACGAGTCAGGTTTGTGGAAATGCAAGCTCACTCAGTCAGGATGCAAGCCTCTCTTTAGTATTTAGAGCTAAAAAGTTAAATAGAGTTGTGTAACTTTTCTTCAGGACAGTTTGCCACTTGCTTTTCTCCATGGAGATCAGGCTTTGCCTGAAATGTTCCACAGTATGGCATTAAAGCTTTGTATCTTCATGGAGACCAAACCAGGCCGAGTTACAGGTCAGATCTGTGGAGGCGACCAAGCTCACAGTCAGAAGGTTGATTCAATCCGTGTGTCATTCATTCATTTGTTTTTCAAAATAAAATCAAAAATAAGAAAACGAACAAACAACTATTTTCTTCATTATTTGTTTTCAAAACTTAAAAAAAAAACAAAAAAAAACAGATAACGACGGTTTCCCGTTTCCAAGACTTAAACTGCAATGCCAGACAGAACCAGGAACTGAACCAGGACTAAACCAGGTCTGGGACCAAACCAGAACCAGACCAGGACTGAGACAGGGACTGAGATCAGGACTGAGGCCGGGAACAGGACCAGACCAGGACCAGACCAGGACTGAGACCAGGACCAGACCAGGACTGAGACCAGAACTGAGACTGGGAACAGGACCAGGACTGAGGCTGGGACCAGACCAGGACCAGACCGTGATTGAGACCGGGACTGAGACCAAGACCGAGGTTGAGACCTGGACCAGACCGGGACCAGGACCGGCACCAAGACCTGGACCGAGACCGGGACCAGACCAGGACTGAAACGGTTCAGTCCGGCATCACAGTTTAAATCTCGGAAACACAAAATCGAAAACTGAAAAAAAGGAATCATTATCCGTTTTTTCATTTTGGTTTTGGAGACAATTAATGAAAAAAAAAATTTTTTTTTTTTAACTTTTCTTATTTTTGCTTTTATTTTGAAAAACAAATGAACGAACGACACACGGATTCAAAACTACTCAAACCAAGATTCTTAATTCAAGCCGTTTTAACTCACGCAGAAACCGTTTTTTTTCGCACCATACCGTCTCTTTTTAATCGTACATGACTCTAATTTCTTTTCCCGCAACCTCCGAACGAAAACAAAGCGACGCAAAGGAATCCACGACGTACAAACGAAAGAAACAGAGAAAACCGCTAGGCTAAGATAATCAGGTTGGCTTTATTCGGCGAAGAAGGAGGAGGAGGTTGGTCGATTTGGCTATGTCTGAATCGGTGGCGAAGTTTTCGTAAACCGCCCCGTTTTGAGGTTGACGTTGTGTATGGCAGAAGAAGGTCCAGGAAATTCCAAAAAACGTTTCTCAAAAATAGCAGCAGCAGCATGAAAAGTTCAAACATTATAATCAGAAGATAGCATTAAGAACGACAAATAATGGCAATTTTTTTTTTAAAGTTCAACAGACAAAGAACACAGTTAAGACTTGAGAGCAGAGGCCCCTCCCCCTTTTTTCCAGGTGGGCGGGGCTTTAGGTCCACGAAAAAAGTTTAGGTCCAATGGTCGAAGAGGCGAAGCTGAGGTTTTGTTGGCTGAAAAATTCCGAGCAGGAGGTAAGTTTTTTTGTCGCTGAGAAATTTTCCAATCGACACCCAAAAATTAAATATATACAACAAATACGCCAACGTAAAAAAACGAAAACAAATCTTGCGCACGTTTTTGATTCGTCCCCTCCCCCCTCTCCTGCAAAAAACCTCGAAGGCGTCCAAAAAAACAAAAACAAAAAAAACGGCCTTCTTCGAAAATCGCTGAAAATGAAATTGGCAGGTTTCATCTGAGGTATTTCCTGGTAGTTTTCGATGCATAAGTAAGCAAGGTAAAAAAAAGTTCCCATATTGTGCTTTAATCTGGCTTTTAAAAGAAAAAATCTAAATAAATCAAAATTTTAAAAAAGTTCGGACACTTTTATTTTGTTATTTCACGTCGTTTAACTTTAAATCATGTACGTTTATGGAAAAATATCTAACCCTGATTTCAGTGCATAGAAAAATGGCTTGACTTCTGTACTCCCAGCGCCCCCTGCTGGTTAAACTGAGTCGCGTGGTTTCAAAATGAGGCTCACGACGATAGCGATTCACGTTTTTCGCGTTAGTACCTACGGAAGCCGAGAGGCGTCACAACAAACGCAAACGCCGCAACAAATACAAATGCGACAACACGACAAAAAAGCCACAACGAACCAAAAAAAGCCACAACGGAAGTGACCGCGGGACTCGATTTTAACACAAACGCTGCAACAAAAACAAACGCCACAACACAAACGTAAATGCCGAAACACATTAAAAAGCCACAACACATTAAAAAGCCACAACACATCAAAAAGCCACAACAGACGTGACTGCAGGACTCTATTTTCCGACCGACCGATCAAGCGGCAAGTGAAGAAGAAAGAAGAAGTAAAGGAACGGAGAAGTTGGAAACGTAAGTAAAAGTAATTTATTGTTTTATCATTATTCGTTTCACGTTGTAGTTCTTCTTCTTCACTTGCCGCTTGATCGGTCCGTCGGAAAATAGAGTCCCGCGGTCATTTCCGTTGTGGCTTTTTAATGTGTTGTGGCTTTTTAATGTGTTGTGCCTTTTGCGTTTGTGTTGTGGCGTTTGTATTTGTTGCGACATTTGCATTAAAATAGAGTCCCGCGGTCATTTCCGTTGTGGCTTTTTTTGATTCGTTGTGGCTTTTTTGTCGTGTTGTCGCATTTGTATTTGTTGCGGCGTTTGCGTTTGTTGTGACGCCTCTCGGCTTCCGTAAGTACCAGTTGAAATTGTATGGATGATGAAGTAACGATGCTTCGTACCTGATTTTTTTTTTTACCATATATTCAACGAAAATCTGTTTTGATGGCGATTCAGTAACTTAAAGAATCCATGAAAGGTCAAAGGTTGTCTAATTTGCACATTTGTTGGTTATTTTTCATTAAAGACTGTCCCAAAAAATGAACTCCTTGCGCGTAAATCTCATTTTTGTTTAATGGTTGGAATAAAGTTCTGTTTGAATCTCTTTATGGCTACGTTCGTATTTTTTTGTGAAATCCGATATTTTTGCGAGGTCGTTCATATTTCCAATTAAATGTGACTTGTGTGTGAATCCAGTGTGAACTTTAAACGCCCCAAAAGTGTCCCGCATGTGCACTGGAGGACATGACAACCTCACACACAGTGAGCGTCTCTGTGTTTATGGAAGTCGCCTAAACTCTGAGCTTGTCTCCCAAAATTTGGTCCAGTTGTTGGTAAAATGTTCAGGTCCAAACGGCGCTTTGTTTGTTTGAGTCTTTATCCTCCTTGTATTTGACTCACAGGATCTTTATTTTTCGTTGACATTGGAGCCAGGACAGTCATTTCAAAAACTGCCCGGTTCAGATAAGACGCCTCCAGTTTGTCCTGAATACAGTGATCCCCCCCAAATATTAATAAACCCACTAACCTCACTTTCCCTCCATTGACGAGACTCTGAGCCTGACGTGTAGGTGGGATGAATGTGACCTGACCGTTCACACTGAAGTCACATGTCAAAAGATCAGACATGTAAATACCAGGGGTGTCAAACTCAAATTCACAGAGGCCAAAATTAAAAACTGGGACTAAGTCGTGGGCCAGACTAAATATTTATTGAAAATTTCTCTTCTTTTGAGATTTGTAATGTTAAACCTTTTCTTATTAAAATAAATGTTTAATAATAGTTTTGCTTAAACACTGAATCCAGAACAAACAGAATATAAAATAATAACAATATTTAAAATAAATAATGTCTCTATAGTCGATCTGCAGGCAGCGGGCAGCTCTAAAACATATTTGATATGATCTCGCGGGCCAAATATAATTTTACCACGGGTCAAATTTGGCCCCCGGGCCTGAGTTTGACATGTCTGGTATATATAGTTTGTTAAACTTGTTCTGTTCTGTTGTTTATGTTATAGTTTATCTGAAGAACTGTTCATATGTGATGTTTTTACTACAACTTGACTTTCAACAGGAAATGTCTGTTCTTGGTCTCTGATTTTATAAAATACATTTTCCCAAAAAGTGCAACTTATATATGTTTTTTTCTTCTTCATTACACATTTTTTGACTGGTGCGACTCATACTCCAGAGCGAATTATAGTCTGAAAAATATAATAATGTATAATAATATATATAAGTGCTGTCTGTATCTAATTCTAAAGCATTTTTGTTGTTCAAGCATCAGGAAATCCGAATTCGCATGCCAGTTGTTGTTAGTTTTACTTTACTGTGACTCTGAAACTCTTTTCTGGTCTCTGAAGGTTGTGAAAAGCTTTTATAAACTCATCACGGTAAAAAACAACGATGTACAGAACACAGAAAGTAAGTGAGGAATAACTTTGGACCACCGCGACTGTTTCAAAGTTCTGTTTTAAGACTTTAAAGCAGGTTTTAAAGACATAGAAACCAGGTACAGCGGCTTGGACGAGGTAAAACGCGGGACTGAAAGTTAATAAAGGTTAATAAAAGGCCAGTTCAGCACAATATGGGACCTTTAAGTCATAATTAGTAGCTCCCTGGGTTAGCGTTAGGAGGGAGGGGTGAGTTGGTGATAGGAAAAGTGCTATTGGACACACAGCTTATGTACAAGCGAGCACAACCAAATGTCCTTTTTTACCTTCGGCGAAACAAAAATCCTTAATCCCATTTGTGTTACAAGAAGTCTTTGCTTTTCTTCAGTCAACTGGGAAAAAAGACGTAAAAAAAAAAAAAAAAAAAAAAAACCGAAAAAAACTCCCAAATGAAATCACTCCAAAAACGTCGGGAGTCGTGTTGATTTTTTTTATTATTATTATTTTTAAAATCGAAAGAATCACAAGGATGGCGTTGGTCAGGGCGTCCGTCAATCAAAGCCCTCCACAGTGAAAAGTTTTTGATTAAGAAATCGCGTTCTCCACGACAACGCCTCTCTGCACCCGGCGACGCGATGCAGTTTTGATTGTGAGGCGAGAGGAGACGTCAAAAGTTCGATCGCGGATTTTTTTTTTTTCTTCGTTGATTAAAAATGATTCGCTCCTTCTTGGTCCTGTTCCGTCACTCGGTCGTAAGGAGGAAAAAAAAAGACAGAAACGTAAAATTCCCCAAAATCCGTCCAGAAAATCTTCAGTTTTGTTGGAGGATGAGGTTCTCCAGCTCGTCGGCGGAGCGGAGGAGGAACGCGGCGGACTCCCGGTACCCGGCGATCAGCTGACGCACGGCCGTGATCTCCGGTTGGCTCAGCTGAGTGGAAGCCCCGCCCCCTCCCGCCGCGCCGCTGTTGCTCCGCCCCCCGAGGCTGTTGGCGCCGTGGGAGTTGGTCAGGGTGGAGGACAGAGACTTCATGCTGAGGTCTGTGGGTCCTGAAGAGACACAGAAGAGGATTAAAGAAGAACTATTGTGTGTGTGTGTGTGTGTGTGTGTGTTTGGAAAAATATCGTAGGTAATTTGCAGTGGAATTTTTACAAACACAAATCACCAAAGATCCACAGGTAAAACTAATCCTGTGTGAATAGACACACAGGATTAGTTATTTTATTATTTACTTTATAATTTATTATTTAGTTTTTATTATTTTATTATTTAGGTTTATTTTATATCATTTAATTTTATTATTTTATTTTTTATTATTTTTATTTATTTTTTATTTATTTTATTATTTATTATTTTTTTAATTTAGCTTATTACTTTATTATTTAGTTTTATTTTATATCATTTTATTTTATTATTATTATTTTATTATTATTTATTATTTAGTTTATTATTTTTTTTATTGTATTATTTATTTATTTTTTGATCATTTTTATTTTATTATTCATTTTATTGTTTATTTTACAATTTATTATTTTATTATTTAGTTTCTTATTTATTATTTTATTATTTAGTTTTATTTTGGATCATTTTATTTTATTATTTTATTTTATTTTATTTTTTTATTATTTTTATTTAGTTTATTATTTTTTTTATTGTATTATTTAGTTTTATTTTGGATCATTTTATTTTATTATTTATTTTATTGTTTATTTTACAATTTATTATTTATTATTTAGTTTCTTATTTTCTTATTTAGTTTTATTTTGGATCATTTTATTTTATTATTTTATTGTTTATTATTTTATTACTTACTATTTTATGATTTATTATTTTTAGTTTATTATTTATTAATTTCTTATTTAGTTTTATTTTGGATCATTTTATTTTATTATTTTATTGTTTATTTATTTTATTATTTATTATTTAGTTTATTATTTTTTTATTGTATTATTTAGTTTTATTTTGGATCATTTTATTTTATTATTTATTTTATTGTTTATTTTACAATTTATTATTTTATTATTTAGTTTCTTATTTCTTATTTTCTTATTTAGTTTTATTTTGGATCATTTTATTTTATTATTTTATTGTTTATTATTTTATTACTTACTATTTTATTATTTATTATTTAGTTTATTATTTATTAATTTCTTATTTAGTTTTATTTTGGATCATTTTATTTTATTATTTATTTTATTGTTTATTTTACAATTTATTATTTAGTTTTTCTTTTATTATTTAGTTTTATTTTGGATCATTTTATTTTATTATTTTATTGTTTATTATTTTTTATTACTTACTATTTTATTATTTATTATTTAGTTTATTATTTATTAATTTCTTATTTAGTTTTATTTTGGATCATTTTATTGTTATTATTTTATTATTTAGTTATTATTTAGTTTATTTATTTATTCCTTTAGTCATCCTTTCTTTGGACTGAAACCTTCTCTCGCGTGCTCACCGTTGGTCTGAGCGGTGGTGAGGGAGACCGGGTGCGTGATGGTGCCCACGGTGGGGTAGGTGCGGTACCCGTAGCTGAGCCCCGCCCCGTTGATGTAGAGCTGACTGTCCTGGGACGAGAAGGCGGAGGCGGCCAGAGAGTAGGCGGAGTGGGCCAAGGACGCGGGCTCCCTCAGGGCCCCCGCGGACGGCTTCTCCAGAGAGAGGTCCTCCTGGAACGACAAGAACGTCAGGGAAGATTTAAAACAAGAACAAAAGCAAAGATGTCAGAGAGGCGTTTGTAAAATCAACTTGATGAACTTACAAAAAAGGGCTACGTTCAGACTGCAGCCTGAAGTGACCCAAATCAGATTTTTTGGCCCCTGTACTCCTGTATCTGAACTTTTAATGACCCAGGACACTTGGATATGTGCTCCTAAAACTGATAAATATCTGATCTTTTGACATGTGACTTCAGTCTGAACGGTCAAAGCGCATTCATCCACCTACACGTTATCAACAAGCTACAAATGTACACAAACGTTCTTCTCGTCATACAAAAATTGTTAATAAACTCCGTGTCACTGAAGAGAAGCACATCTCTATCCCACCACTCTTGGCTCCGTCTCCACATCCACACGTTCCTTTCAACAGACACTGTCCCACAAAACACCACGGCCAAAAACCTCGTCCTTCTCCTTCTCAATCTCCTCCTTAAAACAAGTAAGTTGTTCATGTTCTGGCTCCGGTACGAGAGGAACTTTAAAATCTCCAGGTGCTCGATGCTGCGTCCATGTTTGGACAACGTTCCGTAAACACAGAGACGCTCGCTGCGGTTGACGTCGTCGTGTCTCCAGTGTCACATGTGGGACACTTTTGGGCCGTTTAATGTTCACACTGGAGTCACATACAAGTCACATTTAATTGGAAATGTGAACGACCTCGAAAAAACATCGGATTTCACAAAAAAAACTAAATTGAGCGTTAAGCCCTGCAGTCTGAACGTAGCCTTGGATATGTGCTCCTAAAACCGATACATATCTGATCTTTTGACATGTGACTTCAGTGTGAACGGTCACATTCATCCACCAACACGTCAGGCTCAGAGTCTCGTCAATGGAGGGAAAACGAGGTTAGAGAGTTTATTCATATTCGGGGAGATCGCTGTATTCAGTATCAGAAACGAACGGTTTTTGAAACGATCGCCAGAGAAATGAGCGCGACTACGGACGGTCCTGGCTCCAGTGTCGACAAAAAATAAAGATCCTGCGAGACAAATACAAGGAGGCTAAAGACTCAAACAAACGAAGTGGTCGTGGACGTGCAACCTGAACATTTTACCAACAACTGGACCAGATTTTGGGAGACAAGCCCAGAGTTTAGGCGACTTCCATAAACACTGAACACGCTCGCTGTGTGTGACGTCGTCGTGTCTCCAGTGTCACATGCGGGACATTTTTGGGGCGTTTAAAGTTCATACTGGACATCACATACAAGTCACATTTAACTGAAAATGTGAACGACCTCTACTAAGACGTTTCTTCTCGTGATTTACGCACTCACCTGCATTTAACATATACGGGTCATTGAGACGAATCACACTCACTAATGTTCACTGAGCATCGTAACATTTTATCACACAGTCATAAACTGTTTTAGTGCACTGACAACATCATTATTTAATGTTGTAACTTCATGTTCACCGCACAGACAGCAACGCCTTCTGCAATCCGCTTTGTCCATTAACAAATAATCCGTCTATACATTTGAAAACAGAGATTATTAAATGCCAGAACTATTATCACAATTTCTAGTCTGTAGGTTTGTCTATGAGTTGTTCAGGTATAATCCATAAGCAAAAATCAGCCCTGATGGACACTTTCACACAGAATATCACAATTTTTTTATTTACATTATTATTTAGATGCCAAAGCCAACATGTTTCGACCAAACTCTTCTTCATCAGGGCTCAGTTGAGACCAAATAAGACTAATGCTACGTTCAGACTGCAGGGCTTAACGCTCAATTCCGATTTTTTTGTGAAATCCGATGTTTTTGCGACGTCGTTCACATTTCCAATTAACTGCGACTTGTGTGTGACTCCAGTGTGAACATTAAACGGCCCAAAAGTGTCCCACATGTGACACTGGAGACACGACGACGTCAACCGCAGCGAGCGTCTCTGTGTTTACAGAAGTTGTCCAAACATGGACGCAGCATCGAGCACCTGGAGATTTTAAAGTTCCTCTCGTACCGGAGCCGGAACATGAACAACTTACTTGTTTTAAGGAGGAGATTGAGAAGGAGAAGGACCAGGTTTTTGGCCGTGGTGTTTTGTGGGGCAGCGGCAGCGACGTCCGTTGGGAAAGGAACGTGTGGATGTGGAGACGGAGCCAAGAGTGGTGAGTGGTGATGTGCTTCACTTCAGTCACACGGAGTTCGTTAACAATTTTCGCCTACTTCAGCGCAGAATAGTGACTTAGCTTTGGCCGTTCAGACTGAAGTCGCATGTCAAAAGATCAGATATGTATCGGTTCAGGAGCACATATCCAAGTGTCCTGGGTCACATTTGAAAAAATCGGATCTGTGTCGTTCAGACTGTCATTAAAAGATCAGATACAGGAACATAGAGGCCAAGAAATCTGATTTGGGTCACTTCAGGCTGCAGTCTGAACACAGCCTCAGTAAAGGCCTTTTAACTATATTTTTCCTCATGTGATCTTGATTTCTTTGAGTGCCTGGAGTCTGGAGTTTGTGTTTAAACTACATTATATATTCTGTAGCTTTGTTGTCTGTGTAATCTGTCAAACATCCAGGTATAAAACATAAGCAAAAGCAAAAATCACCCCAGATTTGCACTTTCACACCTCTGAGCACACAGAACACCACTATTATTTTTTGTCGTTTTGATTTAGGTCTTTAATTAGGTCTGAGTCTGAGTGTGGAGTTGTAAATAGCAGAGAGATGATGACTAAGTCCCTCTTGTCCACACGTGGCCCTTTGTTCCACTCTGATTTGTCCCTTTACAATAACTTGGAAAGACAAAATGAACATATTTTATCATTTTACCTCATGCATGGACTAAAACTACAATGCTTTTATTTTAGGTGACATTTTCTGTAAGGCAACCTCAACTTTTCCTTGCTCAGTCAAAACATAAACTCTTAAAACAGGCATGTCCAAACTATGGCCCGTGGGCGAAATGCAGCCCTCGGACACATTTTTCTTGGCCCTCAGGCTTCCAGGTGACTTGGCCCAAATGACCTTACATCAATTAAAAATTTACTTTTTACTGCAAGTTTTTTGAAAGTCTACTTTGATAAAGCTAAGATTGAATATTTCGTGTGTGGTTTTGAGGATTTCAGCATGAATAAAGACTCATTCTAACGTGATAAACCTGCACATATTTAAATTATTCACTGTGTTGAGCATCAGTCTACGGGCCTCGATCGGCCCTCTGCTTCATCTGTGTTTAGAAATGTGGCCCTTGATGAAAAAAGTTTGGACACCCCTGTCTTAAAAACAATGTTATTTATTGCTTTATATAAAGAAATACAATTAATATTATGCAGAACTGAGTTAATCATTTTGACCTCTACAATATTTTCTGTTTTTCATGTGGCCCCATGAAAAAAAGAAGAATTTCTCACCCCTGAATTAACCTAAAAAGTCTAAAAACTGGTACAAATAACAGGCGTTGTCCCGAGTCACTACCAGAAACTGTATTTAAGTTTACTGTGGACGTGTCGTACGTGATATGTTTCCAGGCGCATCCTCTTGGCGGCGTTGCGGGACTCGCTCTCACACGCCGCCGCCAGGATGTTCTCTGCCATGGCCGAGGTCAGGTGAGGAGGCGTGGGCCGGGTCTGCAACACAACACAACAAAAAACATGAACAACTGTAAGATTAAAGGTGCGTTATGGAACTTTTCTGGTAGCTGCTCCGTCAAATACTTTTCTCTTTGGAGATGTTATTGTTTTGTCTGGAATGTTTCACACTATGGCATTAAACCTTTATCTTCATCAGTGTTTGGAGTAACGTGTTATTAAAGTAACGTAAGAGATTTTTGCTGTAACACAGTAATGTGGCATTACAGAAAAAAAATTATACTCGGTACAAACGTGAGTAACGCGCGTCACAATGTATTTTTAACCTGGACTGAAGTGGTGGGTTTTTCCGTCCTGGTTTAGTCCTGGTTTAGACCTGGTTTAGACCTGGTTTAGTCCTGGTTTAGACCTGGTTTAGACCTGGTTTAGACCTGGTTTAGTCCTGGTTTAGACCTGGTTTAGACCTGGTTTAGACCTGGTTTAGTCCTGGTTTAAGACCTGGTTTAGTCCTGGTTTAGACCTGGTTTAGTCCTGGTTTAGTCCTGGTTTAGTCCTGGTTTAGTCCTGGTTTAGACCTGGTTTAGTCCTGGTTTAGTCCTGGTTTAGACCTGGTTTAGACTGGTTTAGTCCTGGTTTAGTCCTGGTTTAGACCTGGTTTAGACCTGGTTTAGTCCTGGTTTAGTCCTGGTTTAGTCCTGGTTTAGACCTGGTTTAGTCCTGGTTTAGTCCTGGTTTAGTCCTGCCTGGTTTAGTCCTGGTTTAGACCTGGTTTAGTCCTGGTTTAGTCCTGGTTTAGACAGTCCTGGTTTAGTCCTGGTTTAGTCCTGGTTTAGTCAGTCCTGGTTTAGTCCTGGTTTAGTCCTGGTTTAGTCCTGGTTTAGACCTGGTTTAGTCCTGGTTCAGTCCTGGTTTAGACCTGGTTTAGTCCTGGTTTAGTCCTGGTTTAGTCCTGGTTCAGTCCTGGTTTAGTCCTGGTTTAGACCTGGTTTAGTCCTGGTTTAGTCCTGGTTTAGTCCTGGTTTAGTCAGTCCTGGTTTTAGTCCTGGTTTAGTCCTGGTTCAGTCCTGGTTTAGTCCCTGGTTTAGTCCTGGTTTAGTCCTGGTTTAGTCCTGGTTCAGTAGTCCTGGTTTAGTCCTGGTTTAGACCCTGGTTTAGACCTGGTTTAGTCCTGGTTTAGTCCTGGTTTTAGTCCTGGTTTAGTCCTGGTTTAGTCCTGGTTTAGTCCTGGTTTAGTCCTGGTTTAGTCCTGGTTTAGTCCTGGTTTAGTCCTGGTTTAGTCCTGGTTTAGTCCTGGTTTAGTCCTGGTTCAGTCCTGGTTCAGTCCTGGTATTTTCTAGATATTTTTTAGATCTAAAACCACCTGTAATTGATTAAATGTAAAGTAGAGCTGTTTAATGTCACACTGCGGAACATTCCAGGGAGAAAAATTTTATCTCCATAGAAACGAGCAGGTAACGGACGCCCAACCAAAAAGTTAGAGCAAATTTTAACAGTTTTAATTTAATTTAATTATCTGTTGCAATTCAAGGGAGTAAGATTAAAAGTGTGATTCTTCATGTTGATTGTTTAAAAACAGCAAAGGATCATGGTCTTTGTAGTTCTTTCTGTTATTTCAAATTGCTGCAGTGACAAAATAATGCTTTAATTAATTATTCATAAATACGCTGTTAATGTGTCTTGTTCAAAAGATGGACAGAAGTAAAATAACGGCTTAGAAAATATTCGCTTTCTTGTGCACTGTGCAGTTTTATGTTTCACCAAAAGAGGGCAGCAGAGCCATTCGGAAAATACAAGAAAGCCTCACAGTCAATCCAGATGTGGGATAAATACTTTTTTTTTTTTTTTTTTTTTTTATTAGAAAACAATTCTGGATGGTTAAAAATAAAATAATGTCAACACAATATGGTCAGAAAGGTGCAACTTCTTTTATTTTATTTTGAACCACATTTCGAAGGGTTTTGTTCATTTGTCAAGCTACACTTTTGGTTTTAAAATTGCACCGTGCAACTTTTCTTACTTTTCTTTTCTTTTTATTTTTTCAGCAAATATTCCATTGATAAAAATTAGTGCTGTCATGCGATTAAAAAAATTGAGAGATTAATTAATTATGATCTGTAATTAATTAATCTAATTAATCTCATTTTAATCTCACCTAAAATTGCTGAGAAAAGCTTCAATTTGAGGTATTTTCATTTAAATTCATTATTACATTATTGTGGCAGATCAAAAGACTGATATAGATTTAAAAAAGTGACTTTATAAAGTCATTTATTGTTTAACAAATCTCTCCAAATTGTCTGTTGAGCCCAAGTCTCCATGAATAAGAAACTGTTTGCTGTAAAGTAGCAAAGACGAGGAAATCTGAACATAATAACTTTTGTCGACTTAAAGACAATAAAAAGTCCAGTCTTTCCTTAACCATATTAAAAATATTATTGATAGAGAAATGCTTTATATATGAGATCACTGGTTTTAGTCCTGGTTTAGTCCTGGTTTAGACCTGCTTTAGTCCTAGTTTTAGTCCTGGAATGGATTAATCCTGGTTTTAGTCCTGGTGTTAGTCTGGTTTAGTCCTGGTTTAGACCTGGTTTAGACCTGGTTTAGTCCTGACCTGGTTAGTCCTAGTTTAGTCCTGGACTGGATTAGTCCTGGTTTTAGTCTTGGTGTTAGTTCTGGTTTAGAGGTTCACAGGAGGAAGCTCGGTTTACGCCGCGTACGCGAGAAAACACGATCCACACGCGGCTCACGGGAGCAGGTCAGTGTCCACGCAGTAACTACGGAAGGAAACGTGGTCCGTGTGTTCTCAGGTTAATGACGATGATGAAGGTGTGTGTTTGTGTGTGTTTGTGTTTGTGTGTGTTTGTGTGTGTGTGTGTGTGTGTGTCCCAGAGTCAACACATGAATTTAAACTGTCGTTTAATAATACTCGTCCAAAACGCAACTCGCAGACAGAAACACTAAAGTTAGAGATTAAAAATGAGATTAAACGCAATTAAAAAACATAACGCGCTAAATATGACTGTAATTAATTCATCGCAATTAACGCGATAATTTGACACCCCTAATAAAAATACTAACAACTAACAACTAAGGGTGTGCAAAAATATTGAAATATCGATATATCGTGTTGTTTGATGTGATGATACAGTATCAATATATTGCCAAGAGTATTTTGAGGTATGTTTTACTAAATTATTCTGTCTAAAAGCTATAAATTGTGTTGACATTTTCACTGTTTTGACTAAAATAGGTGTTTTTCATATTAACTCTGCACAAACTTAGAACCGTTTTTTTTTTTTCTGACTATAAGTGGCACTTTTTTCATGGTTTGGGTGTTTCCTGTGACTTATATATTAAAATGTTTGAGTGAAGTGTGGAGAGGCTCTAGTCTTGTGTGTGAGGATCTGCTGCTCCTGTTCCTCCTGCACCACTGTCACTTGGCTCTACTGCGCATGTCTCCTGCAGAAAGAGCCTCTGTTCTGTCTGTATCATGTCAGTCGATCGCACCGTTACTTCTGCACCACTGAACAATTTAACATTTAAACAAACGACTGAGAAGACTGAACACAAATGCAACCAAAAACAAAATCAGATTCTGCAGATTTACAAACTGCAAGTCCTGAAATCTGCAGAAAATGATGAGCAGTAGAAAGAAAGTTTGGAGTGAGAAAGAAACTTGTGAGAGGATGCTGAAACTTTCCTGTCACTGATGGACAAAGTCTGAACTTCAGAGAAACCATCCTGAAGTGTTCAGAAGTGACACCGAGGATGAAGAACTGAATGGATTTAGTGATTTGGAGTGAGATGGAGAGTTTGTTAAACTTGTTCTGTTCTGTTGTTTATGTTCTAGTTTATCTGAAGAACTGTTCATATGTGACGTTAACAGTCTGTTGTTCTCTCTTCTGTTGTTTTTACTACAACTTGACTTTTAAGATGAAATGTCGCTTCTTGATTAGATAAATTTCATCCAAAGAGCGCAACTTACATGTGTTTTTTTTCTTCTTCATTACACATTTTTTGGATGATGTGACTTATACTCCCAACATTACGGTAAACGTTTAGTATCACAGCCATGATTTAGCCTTAGTTTTTCACAGAACCGTGTCGAATCGATTTAAAATATATCGTATTGAATCGAAAGTGCACTGTATCGAAAAACCTATCGTATCGTCAGTGTCGGGGAGTAACAGATTACATGTACCAGAGTTATGTAATCAGAGTACAAAGTATGAGTAACTGTATTCAGTTACAGTTACTGTTTCAGTGAGTGGTAATTGGATTACAGTTACTTTGTTGAAATAAATGGATTACACAAAGGTATTTTCCTGTTTTCACATTTTGGGCTAAACCAGGACTAAACCAGGACTAAACTAAACCAGGACTAAACCAGGACTAAACTAAACCAGGACTAAACCAGGACTAAACCAGGACTAAACCAGGACTAAACTAAAACTAGGACTAAACCAGGACTAAACCAGGACTAAACCAGGACTAAACCAGGACTAAACTAAACCAGGACTTAAACCAGGACTAAACTAAACCAGGATAGGACTAAACCAGGACTAAACTAGGACTAAACCAGGACTAAACCAGGACTAAACCAGGACTAAACCAGGACTAATAAACGGACTAAACCAGGACTAAACCAGGACTAATAAAAGGACTAAACCAGGACTAATAAACCAGGACTAAACTAAACCAGGACTAAACCAGGACTAAACCAGGACTAAACTAGGACTAAACCAGGACTAAACCAGGACTAAACTAAACCAGGACTAAACTAGGACTAAACCAGGACTAAACTAAACCAGGACTAAACCAGGACTAAACCAGGACTAAACCAGGACTAAACCAGGACTAAACCAGGACTAAACCAGGACTAAACTAGGACTAAACTAAACCAGGACTAAACCAGGTAAACTAAACTAAACCAGGACTAAACCAGGACTAAACCAGGACTAAACCAGGACTAAACTAAACCACTAAACCAGGACTAAACCAGGACTAAACCAGGACTAAACCAGGACTAAACCAGGACTAAACCAGGACTAAACTAGGACTAAACCAGGACTAAACCAGGAGGACTAAACTAAACCAGGACTAAACCAGGACTAAACCAGGACTAAACCAGGTAAACCAGGACTAAAGGACTAAACCAGGACTAAAAGGACCAGGACTAAACCAGGACTAAACCAGGATAAAACCAGGACTAAACCAGGACTAAACCAGGACTAAAACCAGGACTAAACCAGGACTAAACCAGGACTAAACCAGGACTAAACCAGGACTAAACCAGGAAACTAAACCAGGTAAAACCAGGACTAAACCAGGACTAAACCAGGACTAAACCAGGACTAACCCAGTTGTATCGAAAAAACCTGTGTATTGAGGTTTGTATCGTATCGGCAACATCTTATTGATCCCCAGACCTGATAACAACACCACTTCCATCTTACTTCCTCTACAAACACATTTAAAAACCACCATATGTTCTTCAGTTTCGTACAGCGGCGAGTCCGAGCGAGTAATGACTTCCCCGCGTTCATATTCTGCACCGGCGGAGGAGCGAAGGCCCGTGCGCCGTCTTCATTAGTCGTCGTATTAAACGGCGCCGCTCCGGTCCGCCGCGTTACGCCCGACCGAAATGACTGGAGCGTGCCGTCGCCGTGGTTACGACACATTTATTTACAAAAGCTTGTCAGGCGTCACTCGCGCTTCGGCAGATGGCGTCGGAGAAAAAAATAAATAAATAAAAAAAATCACTACAAAACTAGATTCGACTTTTCCACGCTGCTAAATGAAGATCTAAAGTTAAAGCTGCACTGCGGAACTTGTCTGGCAGACGCTCGTCTCCATGGAGGTGTTATTGTTCCACTGTATATACATCGTTTTTTTTACTTTTGCGAACGTTTAAAACAGTTATCGCCCGAAAATACCTTGAAAAAACGTGCAATCTTAGGTGTAAATTGGTTGTTTAATGCCGCACTACGGAACATTTCAGGCAAGGCAAGAAAATAATAAGAATTTAAAGGTCCAATACACACATCAAGAATCTCGGACTTCTGGTCATCGCGCAGTTCAAAAGGTGAGCAAGTACCAGAGTTATGTAATCAGAGTACACATGATGAGTAACTGTATTCAGTTACTGTTACTGTTTCAGTGAGTGGGAATTGGATTACAGTTACTTTGTTGAAATAAATGGATTACATGGTGGTGTTTTCCTGTTTTCACATATAAACGAGAACTAAACCAGAATTAAAACCAGGACTAAACTAGAACTAAACCAAGACTAAACCAAGACTAAACCAAGACTAAACCAAGACTAAACCAGGACTAAAACCAGGATTAAAACCAGAACTAAACTAGAACTAAACTAAAACTAAACCAGGACTAAAACCAGGACTAAACCAAAACTAAACTAGGACTAAAACCAGGACTAAACCAGAACTAAACTAGAACTAAACCAAAACTAAACCAGGACTAAAACCAGGACTAAACCAAAACTAAACTAGGACTAAACCAAGACTAAAACCAGGACTAAAACCAGGATAAAAAATAACCAGAACTAAACTAGAACTAAACTAAAACTAAACCAGGACTAAAACCAGACTAAACCAGGATTAAAACCAGAACTAAACTAGAACTAAACTAAAACTAAACCAGGACTAAAACCAGGACTAAAACCAGGATTAAAACCAGAACTAAACTAGAACTAAACTAAAACTAAACCAGGACTAAAACCAGGACTAAAACCAGGATTAAAACCAGAACTAAACTAGAACTAAACTAAAACTAAACCAGGACTAAAACCAGGACTAAACCAAAACTAAACCAGGACTAAACTAGAACTAAACCAAGACTAAACCAGGACTAAAACCAGGATTAAAACCAGAACTAAACTAGAACTAAACTAAAACTAAACCAGGACTAAAACCAGGACTAAACCAAAACTAAACCAGGACTAAACTAGAACTAAACCAAGACTAAACCAGGACTAAAACCAGGATTAAAACCAGGAAAAACCAGAACTAAACTAGAACTAAACTAAAACTAAACCAGGACTAAAACCAGGACTAAACCAAAACTAAACCAGGACTAAACTAGAACTAAACCAAGACTAAACCAGGACTAAAACCAGGATTAAAACCAGGATTAAAACCAGAACTAAACTAAAACTAAACCAGGACTAAACCAGGACTAAACCAAAACTAAACTAGGACTAAACCAAGACTAAACCAAGACTAAACCAGGACTAAAACCAGGATTAAAACCAGAACTAAAGTAAAACTAAACCAGGACTAAACCAGAACTAAAACCACAACTAAACTAGGACTAAACTAGGACTAAACCAAAACTAAACTAGGACTAAACTAGGACTAAAACCAGGACTAAACCAGGTCTAAATATGATTCCTAACAGTAGGGTGAGCAGAGTTTAAAGCAGCAGTGATCTCATATAGAAATAATTTCTATTTTTAATACAATTAAGGAAAGACTGGTCTTTTTATTTTCTTTTAGAAGATAAAACATCTCGTGAAGATTTCCTCGTCTTTTCTTCTCTACAGTAAAACAAAAGTCTGTTCATGGAGACTTGGGCTCAGACAATTTGAACAGAACAAACAAGAATTTTCAGGATGTGGCTGCTCCATCCATGTCGTTTTAAAAAGCAAGACAATATCAAGTCATCCAAAGTATTCAGATTACGTTACTTACTTTAAGTACCTTAATGGATTATGTTCCAAACTACACTTTGGGATATGTAATCTGTAATCTGTAGGGGATTACATTTTAAAAGTAACACTCCCAACACTGTAGTTTTCCCAGTGGGATGAGTGTTTTGACAAAGTCTTTTGAACCTTGTCGCTTTTGTTTCTGGTTCTGATATTGTCATATTTTAGTTTTGGGATTCGGACATTGTAATTGTTGTGGTTGTTGGATCCTAACAGCAGAAAACGGCTCCAGACATTTGTTTGCAAACTCCATAAATGCAAAAGTGAATCAGATGTGTGTGACTCAAACCTCTGTTCAAACTGTTTCTCTTCCCAACGGAATTGAAAAATAGTGAAAGGTGAAGGCGATGGGCAGGATTGATCCACAGGAAGAACCAAAAGGAAACATTTGTCTGCCTAAATCATCCTGAGTTTGCAGTGAATATTTTGTATGTGGAGCGACGACAAAACAAAATCCCATTTGTTAATGTAGAGGAGCAGAAGACAAACAGACTGAGCTGCACTTTCTTGTTCTTGTGGTTTTACAGCAACATCACGTCTTGGTCTCTTTGCAGTGGAAGGTGTTTCTTGGTGAACAGCTGGAGCCTTTCACTTTGGCGTTGACTTTTTAAATTCATAACCGAGGTTGAGCGAAGGAATCGGGATTTTGCTTTGATGTCGCTCCACATACAAAATGTTCTCTGCAAATTCCTTTAACTCTTTCCCCCATGAAGACGACATTTGACGACCCCCCTGTTTCCTTAATGACGACTTTTGACTCCTCCGCTGTATCACTAAAGACGAGATTTGACGACCTTTAGAAATGGCTCGGTTTTTCACATGTAAACAGAGACTGTGATCGGTGGGGGCCACTACAACCCACACTAGACTGACCAATAGGATTCAAGGATATGTTTTCGCCGATTTTTTCCGAAGTTAATCGAAATAGTGACGATGGTAGCTTCCGGAAAAAACACAACACGAAACACGTGCAATGGAAAGATGGCGGCGCTGCGGCGCACAGTTTTAGAAATAATGAGGAGCGGACGTATTTTATGGATAAGTTTAGAGAAAGTGACTTTTATAGATTTCAAAGTGATGATGTTGAAGTTGATTATAAAGTGAAAAACAGCGATAGCGACGGACTTTCGGGGAGAAGGTGAGATGCAGCTGATGCGTCTGTGTGGAGTCCTGCGATGTCCCAACAAACTATCTGAGCTTTATACTCGATTATGAACCAAAACTGCCCTGAAATCTGGATGTTGCTCAGGCGAGTCCTTTAAAATATTTCAGTCTTTTTTTCCAAGATGCGATGTATAACAGAATCACTACAGAAACAAACACTTATGTGGAGCTCTGCACACGAGAAAGTAACCAAGATGACAAATACTGGACACACACTGACGGGGAAGAGTTTTATTATTATATTATTATATTATAATAAGCTAAATTAGTTGAATAAATAAATAAGTTGAATAAGTTAAATGAGTTGAATAAGTTAAATGGAAAAAGATTAATTAGGTGCACACAGGTGAACAACAGGTAAAAACAGGTGCACACTTGGCTCTACTGTATCTGGTGAAATGAAATCTGTTTAAATACTTTGACAAAGTATATTTTTTTATTTTTTATGAATATAGTATCATGCTGAATGTAGTTTCGAGTTTGCAGACCAGGTAAACTCTCATGAAGTGAGTGTTATACAAGAGTTGAATCACATTTAAACATTTAAGAACATTCCAGAAATTGTACAATTAAGTTGTCATTTATGTAGTTATGTTCCTTAGTTCTGTGCGTTGTTTTTGTTTCCAGTGAAGCACTTTGAGTTTAGTACAAAAATACAAAACTTACAAATCTTGGCCAAAATCAGATCTGTTATGTGACATGAAGAGAAATCAAACAACATTAGAAGAGAGAAAATAGATGTTATTAGCTGGAACATTGTGTCTGGTGTGAGTTCTTTCCGTTTATTTTTACAGTTTCCGCTCAGACGGCGTTTCGGAGCGACGGCGACGTACCTCCATGCCGTTCTTCTTCATGCGCCGGCAGGACTTGAGGTAGGTGCGGATGCGTTTGCGCGCCCTCTCCTGGAACTCGGGGAACTGTCTGGAGCACGACTCGATGATGGCCTGGATCTTCTCCTTGGGCTGTTTGGAGATGGGCACCATGCGATCCAGGTTCTCGTCCACGAAGAGACGCACGAACATCTGAGGAGGACACGACGCACACGGGAGTGAGAATGAACAGGTTTTAGTCGGGTTTTGTGGTGCACTGAGATTATATTTGCGGTTATATTTCATGATCAGAGTTACGTTCAAAGTTCTTCACCTCAAACACCTCCTGGAGCATCAACATTTAAGAGTAAAATCTGAAGTTCTAAACAAATACCAGATTTCCATGCATCTCAGAACATGTTTGTACTGGCGTTTTCCATTTAAAAAAATATACTTTGATGATATTTGGGTTGTTCAGACACTTAGTAAATAGTTTTTGAGCTGCTCTTTCACATGACTGAAAAAAACACATGACAAGAGTTTAAATCAGGGGTGTTAAACTCATTTTGTTCTGGGGGTCGTATCCAACCGACTTTGATCCCAAAGTGTCTGGATCAGAAAACTCATGTCATATAAACCCCAAAAATAACAATAATTTAAAATATTTGTGCAGAGAAACACAAATCTATTACAGAAATCTTTTTTAATTGATGAACTCTTTCTTTTACTAAATATTATAATATTATGAACAACCTGAAACTTTAAGAAAAATACAATTTCAACACAATGTTTGAACATGAACAAGTGCATCAACATCAGACACCAGATCCTGAGGAGCTGTTGTCTTCACAAAGTCATTCAAGTGTTTGTGTGTTTAGTTTTGAGCACAGTTTTGTTTTATTCATGTTCATTACTCCTGCTCACAAAGGGAGTGACTGTAAATCTGTTATTTCTAGTTGCACATCTGTGGCACATCAGAGGTTTTGACTGTGAATGATGTGTGAAAAATTGCAAATTCTGTCTACAGGTTTTAAAATATAATATAATAAAATATAATATAATTTAAATATTTTAGTAGAAAATCTGCCGAGGGCCAGATTAAAGGTATTGGACGGCCAGATCCAGCCCCTGGGCCATACGTTTGACACCCCTGGTTTGAACATTTTGCCTGTAAAAGTTGCTTTTGGGAGATGGTCGATCAGTTTTGAATGAAAAACTGCCTTTTAAATTTTGTTTAGAATTTATAAAAAAAATAAAAAAAATAAATAGTTTTTGCAAATTATTATTGAATTATGACTTAATCGTGTTCAGTCAAAATGGTTAAAATATAAATTTAATGTTTAATAAAACATATGTGGACATCATTTTTCTCAGAATCTACATTAATCTGTTTGTCATTCGTTCATTTGTTTTTCAAAATAAAACAAAAATTAAGTAAACGAAAAAACAACTATTTTCTTCATTATTTGTCTCCAAAACCAAAATGAGAAAACGGATAAGGATTTGTTTTTTCAGTTTCCGATTTTGTGTTTAAATGAAAAATGGAAAAAATGGATAACGGCCGTTTCCCGTTTACGTGACTTAAATTGAGATGCCGGACTGAACCAGGACTGAACCAGGACTGAACCAGGTCTAATCCAGGACTAAACCGGTCTTAGTCCTGGTCTCGGTTCTGGTCTGGTCCTGGCCTCAGTCCTGGACTCAGTCCTGATCATCCAACAGTCTATGCGGGCGCACATCCGGGCCCATCTCCACAGTCCTGTTTTAGTCCCAGTTCAGTCTTGTTTTAGTCCTGGTCTAGTCCTGGTTCAGTCCTGGTTTAGTCCAGGTTCAGTCCTCGTTTAGTCCTGGTTCAGTCCTGGTTTAGTCCTGGTTTAGTCCTGGTTCAGTCCTGGTTTAGTCCCAGTTCAGTCTTGTTTTTAGTCCTGGTTCAGTCCTGTTTTAGTCCTGGTTCAGTCCTGTTTTAGTCCTGGTTCAGTCCTGTTTTAGTCCTGGTTTAGTCCTGTTGTAGTCCTGGTTCAGTCTTGTTTTAGTCCTGGTTTCAGTCCTGTTTTTAGTCCTGGTTCAGTCCTGTGTTTTAGTCCTGGTTTAGTCCTGTTTTAGTCCTGGTTCAGTCCTGGTTTAGTTCTGTTTTAGTCCTGGTTTAGTCCTGTTTTAGTCCTGGTTCAGTCTTGTTTTAGTCCTGGTTCAGTCCTGGTTTAGTCCTGGTTTAGTCCTGGTTTAGTCCTGGTTTAGTCTTGTTTTAGTCCTGGTTCAGTCTTGTTTTAGTCCTGGTTTAGTCTTGTTTTAGTCCTGGTTCAGTCTTGTTTTAGTCCTGGTTCAGTCCTGTTTTAGTCCAGCATCGCAGTTTAAGTCATGTAAACGGGAAAAACAGTCTATATCCATTTTTTCCATTTTTCATTTAAACACAAAATCGAAAAAAATGAATCATTATCAGTTTTTTCATTTTGGTTTTGGAGACAAATGATGAAGAGAGGAAAGTCAGGAGGCCCTGTCCACATCTGCTGTGACAAGAATAAACCTTTGTCTGTAGTCCAAACACTCACCGGGTTTCACACATTGATTAATTATTTATTTATCATCAAGAGATACTGTACACCATTGTCCACAAAACCCTGTCCCTGATTGGTTAATCTACCTGTCAATCACGCCCACCTGAAAACGGGCAGATTCACCCATGACCAGTGTTGGGAGTAACAGATTACATGTACCACAGTTATGTAATCAGAGTACAAATGATGAGTAACTGTATTCAGTTACAGTTACTGTTTCAGTGAGTGGTAATTGGATTACAGTTACTTGGTTGAAATAAATAGATTACACGAAGGTATTTTCCTGTTTTCACATTTGGAGCTAAATCCCTTTTTTTTTTTTTTTGGTAATTCCACTTATTGCCAGAGACACTAAACCAGGACTAAACCAGGTCTAAACCAGGACTAAACCAGGTCTAAACCAGGACTAAACCAGGACTAAACCAGGTCTAAACCAGGACTAAACCAGGTCTAAACCAGGACTAAACCAGGACTAAACAGGTCTAAACCAGGACTAAACCAGGTCTAAACCAGGACTAAACCAGGTCTAAACCAGGACTAAACCAGGACTAAACCAGGTCTAAACCAGGACTAAACCAGGTCTAAACCAGGACTAAACCAGGACTAACCAGGTCTAAACCAGGACTAAACCAGGTCTAAACCAGGACTAAACCAGGACTAAACCAGGTCAAACCAGGTAAACTAAACAGGACTAAACTAAACAGGTCTAAACCAGGACTAAACCAGGTCTAAACCAGGACTAAACCAGGACTAAACCAGGTCTAAACCAGGTCTAAACTAAACCAGGACTAAACCAGGACTAAACCAGGTCTAAACCAGGACTAAACCAGGACTAAACCAGGTCTAAACCAGGTCTAAACCAGGACTAAACCAGGGCTAAACCAGGACTAAACCAGGACTAAACCAGGACTAAACCAGGAAAACCAGGTCTAAACCAGGACTAAACCAGGACTAAACCAGGTCTAAACCAGGTCTAAACCAAGACTAAACCAGGACTAAACCAGGACTAAACAGGTCTAAACCAGGTCTAAACCAGGTCTAAACCAGGACTAAACCAGGTCTAAACCAGGTCTAAACCAGGACTAAAGCAGGTCTAAACCAGGTCTAACCAGGACTAAACCAGGGCTAAACCAGATCTAAAACATGCAAAACCAGACTAAACCAGGACTAAACCAGGACTAAACCAGGTCTAAACCAGTCTAAACCAGGACTAAACCAGGACTAAACCAGGACTAAATCAGGACTAAACCAGGCTACTAAAGGTAAACCAGGTCTAAACCAGGTAAACCAGGTCTAAACCAGGACTAAACCAGGTCTAAACCAGGTCTAAACCAGGTCTAAACCAGGATAAACCAGGGCTAAACCAGGTTAAACCAGGACTAAACCAGATCTAAACATGTCTAAAACATGCCTAAAACCAGGACTAAACCAGGACTAAACCAGGTCTAAACCAGGACTAAACCAGGTCTAAACCAGGACTAAACCAGGACTAAACCAGGTCTAAACCAGGTCTAAACCAGGACTAAACAGGACTAAACCAGGTTTAAACCAGGTCTAAACCAGGTAAACCAGGTCTAAACCAGGTTCTAAACAGGTCTAAACCAGGACTAAACCAGGTCTAAACCAGGACTAAAAGCAGGTCTAAACCAGGACTAAACCAGGTCTAAACCAGGTCTAAACCAGGTCTAAACCAGGTCTAAACCAGGTCTAAACCAGGACTAAACCAGGTCTAAACCAGGTCTAAACCGGGACTAAACCAGGACTAAACCAGGTCTAAACCAGGACTAAACCAGGACTAAACCAGGTCTAAACTAAACCAGGTCTAAAACCAGGTCTAAAAACCAGGACTAAACCAGGTCTAAACAGGTCTAAACCAGGTTAAACCAGGACTAAACCAGAAACCAGTCTAAACCAAACAGGTTAAACTCTAAACCAGGTTCTAAACCAGGACTAAACCAGGTCTAAACCAGGTCTAAACCAGGACTAAACCAGGACTAAACCAGGTAAACCAGGTCTAAACCAGGACTAAACCAGGACTAAACCAGGTCTAAACCAGGTCTAAACCAGGTCTAAACCAGACTAAACCAGTAAACCAGGTCTAAACCAGGTCTAAAACCAGGACTAAACCAGGTAAACCAGGTAAACCAGGTCTAAAACCAGGTCTAAACCAGGACTAAACCAGGTCTAAACCAGGTCTAAACCAGGACTAAACCAGGTCTAAACCAGTCTAAACCAGGTCTAAAACCAGGACTAAACCAGGTCTAAACCAGGTAAACCAGGTAAACCAGGTCTAAACCAGTAAACCAGGTCTAAACCAGGTCTAAACCAGGACTAAACCAGGTCTAAACCAGGTCTAAACCAGGACTAAACCAGGTCTAAACCAGGTCTAAACCAGGACTAAACCAGGACTAAACCAGGCTGCTTGGACCGTGTCGCCTCCTCTTTTATCAATAACATATTTTATTTGGTTCAGTAAAGTTTGGTCTTTTCATTTTCTTTTATCAGACAAAACATCTTAAGTGAAGATTTCCTCGTCTTTGCTTCTCCACAGCAAATCAAGTAATCCAAAGTAATCAGATTACATTACTCACTTTAAGCAATTTAATGGATTCCGTTACAAACTACATTTTGGTGTATGTAATCTGTAATCTGTAATCTGTA